TAAAAATTCCTGACCTTCCCCTTGACGCTCCTTCCTGCCTCTGTTGTGTATCCTCTCTTTCCCAGAACAGCAAATGTTAGCCCATTTGCACGCTGAAATGAGCGAGGGTCCTGACTGGGCTGGAAAGTGACCTCTTCTTGCCCCACTGCCTGTTGCGTTTAATTTGAATCCTTCCTCTGATCTGTTTCTGCACATAGCTCCGTGCAGAGGTGTTCTGCCATTGAAGAAGGGACAACACAAAGGCCAGAACAAGTGGCCAGGGTAGAGAGGGGTGTGAGACAGCTTTACTCAGAGCAGTGTCAACTTAGGTTGGTTTATAGTATCTGACCAGCTAAGTGGTCATTTACTCGTTTACTTAAACGACTGCATGTAAGTAAACACTCTCAAATATCTAATCATTTGGATAAATTCCTGCCGCACATTCAGGAGTGAGAACTTTGCTGGTGCAGTTTAGTCTGACAGTCTGTCCCACTTCTCAAGCGGGCAGAGATGTCAATAGTCTGTTCAGTAAAGGCAACATTTTCTTACTGAAATTTGTAATAAACTTAATTATTCTCTTGTTTGTTGTTTTTTTTTTTTTAAAGTGTATTAAAAAAAAAACCAACTGTTGCCACCTTCACGGTTCTTCATTTTCTGTAGACAGAAGATTCATCCAGGATATTTTAGGATTAAGAACTTCTCATATTTCTAAGGGTTCATGAAAACAGCATTGCCCAAGTATGGATTGATATCTTAAAACTGGGAGGGTGTTATTCCCACCTATTTAGCATTACAGAGTCTTTTCTTTAAGAACCTTCACGTTTTTCAAGTGTGCGTAAGTAGTACCATTATGCTTAGATGTAGGTCCACCTATACCCATATGATTTTTGTTTGTTTTACATATGGCTGTCAATGTCCTGTGCAGTAAAATCGCTATCAAAATAATACTTTCTAGGCTTTGATTCCAGAAGTAACTAAGATTGAGGTTTTACAATTGGCTTAAGCTAAGCTGAGTCTCTGCTTCCATTGAAAGTGAGGTCTTATCTTCCCTTTATCCCAGCTGGGCATTTCTTTTCCTCCCTATCTTCTGGAAACTTCTATATCTGAAAGCTCTTACTTTGTAATTATTACTGTTATTGTTTCTGTAGTGGTTTTTTCAGTCACATCAGCTGTCTGATCTGATTGACTAGCAATGATGCAGGAATATGTGGCCAAAGGTGAAGGAGAGGATAGGCTAACTTCAGCAGCAGACTTAGACCAGCTAAAACTGAAGGCAAAATGACATTCTTAGACACGGACTTAAGTGTCTAAGCATTGAATTAAAACTAAGGGCCAGACCTGCAGAAAAGCTTGAACATGAGATCCACAAACATGCCTAAATGCTTCTGTGGATTCAAATGTTAGCAGTCAGTCTTAGTTTCTTAATGTTGTGCAGTGTTGGGGTTAAGACTTTCGTTTCACAGCCCTATAAGGTCCTTAATTTTACCTTTTAATCCTCCTCCTTCCATACGGACTTCTTTCTTCATGTTGGCTTATGTCAGAAAGGCGCTGTTTGATTCCTCCCACACACTGCAAACTGCAAGCCTCAATGAATATCTGGTTTCTACTGCTTCTTGTAATAGGCTATTTTGCCAGTAACTATTAGGCAGCACAGTACATTAAGCAATTCAAACTAGTATCAGCATTTCTTTTTAATCACAATGATGCTTTGTTTTCTTTTAAACCTTGGTGCTTAATGCTGAATTTAATTGCCGTTTAAGTAGATGCATTTATGTGCATCTGCTGATACAATAATCAATCCAACATTGTCTTGTTTATTCTTAGTTTATTTTCACCTTACTGCGGTATTTTATTTTCCAAGTAAATTAAGCATCTAGTATAATGAACACTCAACTGCTGATTATTCTGTAGTGATACTGTCACAAAATTGTTTTTAAATTTAAACAGCATCAGAGAAATGTATTTGAGAGTGTCTGAATCTCTGAATTAAATGGTTGGTAATCTGAGTGTCTGTTGTTTATCCTTCCTTCAAGAAACCTTAGATTGGCATCCAGTTGACTGTGCTACAATCTTGAAAGGGAAGCATCGGAGCAGTTGAGTATCCTGGTTTTATTCTTCCACCCATTTCCTCTCTTCAAGCAGAGGCACTGCTCCAGTTCCACTTTCTGACATTATACCCATGTGAAGTTATTCTGTTTCTGCAGGATGTTTTTCTCCCAGTTGGGTCCTTTTGTCCTGGTTTTGGCAGGGATAGAGTTAATTTTCTTCCTAGTAGCTGGTACAGTGCTGTGTTTTGGATTTAGGACAAGAACAAAGTTGATAACCCACCGATGTTTTAGTTGTTGCTAGGTAATGCTTACACTAGCCAAGGACTTTTCAGTTTCCCATGCTCTACCAACTGAGAAGGCTGGAGGTGCACAAGAAGCTGGGAGGGGGCACAGCCAGGACAGCTGACCCCAACTGGCCAAAGGGACATTCCGTACCATGGGACGTCATGCTCAGTACATAAACTGGGGAAAGCTGGCCGGGGGGGCCGCTGCTCGGGGACTGGCTGGGCATCGGTTGGCGGGTGGTGAGCAATTGCACTGTGCATCACTTGTTTTGTGTATTATTATTATTATTATTATTATAACTTTTTATCACAACCCACAAGTTTTTCTCACTTCTACTCTTCCAATTCTCTCCCCCATCCCACTGGGGGCGGGGGGGTGGGGAGGACTGAGCGAGCAGCTGCGTGGTACTCAGTTGCTGACTGAGGTTAAACCACAACACCTTTCAATATAGAATCATAGAATGGTTTGGGTTGGAAGGGACCTTTAAAGATCATCTAGTCCACCCCTCTGGTGCCGCCCCCCCCCCAGCCCTGCCATGAGCAGAGACATCTTCCACTAGACCAGGTTGCTCAAAGCCCAGTCCAACCTGACCTTGAACACTTCTAGGGATGGGGCATCCACATCTTCTCTGGGCAACCTGTGCCAGTGTCTTACCACCCTCATCGTAAAACATTTCTTCCTTATGTCCGATCTAAACCTGCTCTCTTTCAGTTTAAAACCATTGCCCCATGTCCTGTCACTACAGGCCCTAGTAAAAAGTCTCTCTCTGTCTTTCGTATAAGCCCCCTTTATATATTGAAAGGCTGCAAGAAGGTCTCCCCAGAGCCATCTCTTCTTCAGGCTGAACAAACGCAACTCTCTCAGCCTTTCCTCATAGGAGAGGTGTTCCAGCTCTCGGATCATTTTTGTGGCCATGCTAGTTTATTCCATAAAAGAAAGGTTATATTTGAATGTATTATTTGTGAGTACTGTGGAAACCACACTAGCATACTTAAGGTTGCTGTAGCATACAAGATTCCCTTCTTCAGGTCTTGTGGAGTCCTTCAATGTTTAGAGCTCCCAACAGATGTAGTATTCTTCTGCTGGTACTGGAAAGGACCTAGCAGACTGTCATCTCATACTGGTGCCATGGAGCCTTTCTCCACATTGCCCCTTGTTGTAGCTACTGTCTCCCTGCTGAAAGAAATCAGAAAGCACAGATTTGGAGGGTAGAAACCCGCGGCACCGCAACAGTGAGAAGCAGCTGAAGTTAGGGTGAAAGCAGTGACCTCCTTTAGTGGCATGTTTTATATCTGAAAGATGTCTGACATAGAGTGCTGTATGGTCTCTGGAATATGTCTACTTCCTTCTCCTTCTGAAAAGAAGAAGAGGGGGTGGGGTGGGGGGGACATCTGAGGCCAGATTTGTCTATGCTGGCTGGTTCTGGCACAGTGGGCAAGACTTTCCCTAAGTGCAAATAAACTCTAATGGAAAATAGCTCTAGCAGTGGTTCTATTTACTACTCTGTAGAGCTCAAGGTAGCAGTTATAATACCCCATAGCTGCAAATTTAATGTTCAGTCTGCTTCATTGACCTTGGAAATTGGATTTGAATGGAGGCTGAAGCATTTATGCAAACCTTAATGATAGTGTTTGATCTTCAGTGACCTGGTAATGAGAAGGGCCCAAAAAGCTGAAGCAGGGTCAGTGTGCTATTCAGTATGGAAGGGTATGTGGAAGGCGGGAGCATCTTCTTCATGGAGATTATCCAAAATGCAGGTGAGGGGCTCAGTGCCAGTGGCTGGAGCGGGGCTGCTGGTCGCAGTCTGGGTGCCGGCTGTTGGGGGGCAGAGTGAGTGTCTGATCTGTTTCTGCGCATAGCTCCATGCAGAGGTGTTCTGCCGTTGAAGAAGGGACAACACAAAGGCCAGAACAAGTGGCCAGGGTAGACACACAGACCTGGTGTGCGTGGAACAGTACGTGTGGCGTTCACTAGCATACCCCAAGCTGGACTAGCCAGGGAGTAGGAGGTCCTAGGTCTGGGCAAGGGTACCAGCTGGGGAGAGTGTCCATGACAGCATTCGGTGGGGACCCATGAGTGTGGGTTGCCTGTGAGATGAGCGTACGAGTGTCTGTTTGCAGCGAGCACCGCAGTGAACCAGCTGGTGAGGAGGAGACCTGCGGCATGGGTAGAAGAGCTCAGGATCTGGGCAGGGGTATCAGATGGACAGAAGGACCATACTGGTATCACTGCTGATACCATGCAGCTTGGTTTTATGGTTCAGTAGAATTGGAACCACTTTTTCAAGATAATTCCTGTTCCATTTCCTGTCAACCTCAAGTGGTTAGTTACAGTGAGTCTCTCCTAAAATCCATGGCTCAGATTTTTTCTTGACTTGTTTAAATGGACTGCCACGTGCATGCTCGTGAGCAGAAGTTGTATGCAAGCAAGTGGTTCTTGTCCATAGCAATGGGACAAAGCTGCAAGTTAAATCATCTTTAATGCTGTGGTCAGTATTTAATTAAGCATATTCAAACACGTATTATAAATGTTTCAGTAGCTTGTTACAGTTACTAGGTTTCACTGAAAACACTTTCACTAGAATTGTTTAGAGCTGATGTTGTTATCCAATTAAATGACAAATTTATACTGAAATTGTATTTGGCTGTAAAATTATATTCCCATTAAATATGACATCTTCTTTTGCAGTGACCCATATGTGAAACTTTCCTTGTATGTAGCAGATGAGAACAGAGAACTTGCTCTTGTGCAGACAAAAACTATTAAAAAGGTATGTATATGCTTTTTTTTATTCTATTGTTTTGGAAATATTAAGAATACTGGAACACAATTCTATAACATAATACAACATGTATTTAAATGGTTGCATACATGTATAGCAACTGAATAATGTATTTTTTTTCAAACCAAAATAAGAAAACAAGTGCATGCATCTTCAGTGTGCGTGATCTGTTGACAGAAAAATAAAAGAGAAAAAAATCCTAGTATGTTGTCTATTACTGTCTAAACCTTGGCTTATCAAATCTCATTACATCATTCACTGTTTCTTTTATCAAAGTCATATTTTAATGAAAGAAATAACTGAAATAAAGGACTAAGAAGCTCTGTTTTAATTATCTTTTATTTGACTTTTAGAAAAAATGATCATTATTTAACGTTCTCTTTCAAAATTTCCATTTTCAAAATACTTTCCTAATATGGGAATTTAAAATAGCTAAATGACAGAAGATATGCTGTAAGAAAAGCCTGGAAATGCACTGAAAATGTTTTCATTTTTAATTAGAACCAAAATTAAATTTTCTTTGGTTTCTTAATTTTATTCCACACAAACAAAAATTCCACCAGGGGATATTTGTTATTATCAGGGCCCTAAGAATTTTTTTTTTTTTTTAATTTAGTGGTAGTGATGGCAGAGAGGAAAGAAGTCATAACCAGTATGAAAAGTAAAGGAAAAATAATGAGTTGTCATTTTTATGAAGATATTCAAAATCAACAATGATTCAATTGAAATCATTATTGCAAAACAGAATAGTGAGGAAAATTTTGTTACTGAAAACACAAAATAGAATTATGCTGTTCTAAAATCAGAACATTAGGTGTCATGAGAAAACCAATGTGAAATCCTGGAAGATTCAGGCAGAGCTTTTCACAGGACCCAGGGCATGTCTGATGTTGGAAAGTAAAAGTAATTTTTAAAAGATTTCCCGGTTAACTATTGGTACGTGTTTCATAATAGCATTTTTACATTCATTGACTCCTTTTAAATACGTTCTTTATAGCCCATCTAGCTTAGCTTTATGTAGAGATTTTTGACATTAAAATTTGTGAGAAAAATGTTAACTTTTCCAAAAAAGAGTACCTAGTTTGATGCTATAGTAACAATATGGACTGTGGCATTTTTTGTGTCCTTAAATAGGTTCAAGATTTATCGCCAATTCCATACAAGTATGTGGGAGGTTTTCTTACAATATGCATATCTTGTTTTTGTAGAGAGTGTGCTGCTTGTCATGCCATTTCCTGGGACGTAGTTGCACGGAGTCAAGTCCTGTTCTTGAAATCATATGAATGGAAAATGCTTAGGCTTGATAGGTCATTTTCAGGCTATTATAAAATACCTGGCTATTACAATTCTGGTATAATCTTAAGTAACATGTTCTTGCTGAAGTGCAAGATTGACTTTGATTGTCTTATTATGAATGGCAATATTCATGAGAAACTATTAAATCAGTACACCTGTGTCTGTGTACTGATAAATCTTTCTTAACATTGTAAAGGGTAGATGAATAAAATGAGTGTAGGTGAAGGTTTATTTTCTCATTTAAAAAATAATTTGGACCACTGTAATAATTTTGTATCAATAGCGATACGGGCTCAGACTTTACCAGCTACTAAATGGGCAACTCATTTCATCTGGAGAGAAGTCAGTGGAGGTCGGAGACATTTGAACAGTTGCACCCTATGAACAGTCTATGCATTTGCTTTCATGGGCTTGTTTGCAAAGTATATGCTTCAGGATTCCTGAAAAATAATGGCTTACTGAAAAATAACTGTCTAGACAAGTCCAGTTCTTGTAGCGCTTGTTTATTGTCTTAAAATAGTATGGTAGCTTCCATTGACTGCGAATGCCTGAGGATGGGAGGGAGATTTTTCTCTTTCACCTTTCAATGAAATGGAAGAATTTCAATATGAAGTAGCGTGAGTCTAGATGGTCTAGATATTGGAAGGGATCTCTGGAGATCCTTAACTGTTCTGTTACTTTGTGACTAAAACTCAGGACAATTATGATAGCAGAGAGGATGTGAGGCAGATCATGAAGGTGCAAGGATCCTTTGACTTTTCAGAGAAATCCTTTGTAGCAAGTCTGTGAAATGGGGGGAGAGGAGATAGGAGGTGTGGCATGGATATAGGACTTCATTTTTTCCCCTTGCTTCTTAGGAAATAATGGTGACCAGATCCAGAGTTTTATTCAATTTCTGATCTCTTTTTTAAATTATTTTATTTAATTTTTTAATGAATTTCTTGATTCTTATTAGAATAACATTGTCCTTGTTTGAAAGGATGTTGCTGGTATAAAAGCATGATTACTAAAGACATGGCATATTCGGCTCCTACACATTTAAAATGTAATGGCTATAGTGCAGAAAGTTAGGAGAGGTTGAAATGAGAGCATTAGATTGGAAATAAGGTTGTAACGTTACTGCTGATCTGAAGCAATACTTACCAGCTTTGGATCCATGTGAAAGGAAGATAAGAAGACTTCTGAGAAGACCACCATAAATTAAAAAAAATGTAGTAAAGATGTGAAAATATTGATTGTATCAAGGAAGAGAGAAATTCATGGCTTTAGTGCTGCCCTAGGAAGAAAGAGAAAAAGGACAATGTTTGCACAACAACCCAACTGTAGACAGAGGACTGAGGAATACTGTGTTCAGTTTTGGGCCCCTCACTACAAGAAGGACATCGAGGTGCTGGAGCGTGTCCAGAGAAGGACAACGAAGCTGGTGAAGGGTCTGGAGCACAAATCTTACGAGGAGCAGCTGAGGGAACTGGGGTTGTTTAGCCTGGAGAAAAGGAGGCTGAGGGGAGACCTCAT